TTCGCGGTTCACGTGGTATCCGCGGGCCAAGCCCTCCCCCTCGCGTTCAGTCTGTCGGTTTCCCAGAGTATGGGTCCGCTCTGTTAGTTGCGAGGTCCTGTCTACCACGCTGTTGGTCAAAAGTTCCGCGTCATGCTCACTGGGCTCGTCAGGGACCCCCGCCTCGAGCCTCTGCTTGCCCTTGGCACTGCGGTCTACCCCTTCACCGCGCATGGGATTTCCGTGGCCTAACCCCTCGTCACGCAGGGGTTCCATGCGGTCTAACCCCTCACCGCGCTGGGGAAAGTCGCCGAAAAACTTCTCCAAGTCCCGCTGCAGGTCTGTGTCTTCGTAATCTGCCGTCGTCTCGGACTGTGCAATCTCTGCGGGGTCACGAAAGGTAGCGAATCGCACCAGTGGCGAGACACCGTGAGCCTCCCCTGTGGGATGCTTCGAGCGATGCGTCTCTTCCACCTTCCGCGTAGAAGAATCTGTTTGCATCATGCTGGTGACGTCACTGATGTCGTCGTGTAGTTCTTCCTCTTCCTCGTGCCCATCCTGTTGTTGCTGTGGGGGTGGTGTCCCCACTGCAGTTCCATCGCCAGCTCGGTGAGCACGATGTGCTGCAAGCAGGTGCTTCCAGACCTGTGGGGGATCATGTACATCCTGTGCGAGTATTTGCCATGCCGTCCTGCCAGTTGGTTGGCCTGGCTGCATGCGATCAACTGCCTGGCATTCCAAGTCATCTAGTACTTGCCGAAGTTGATCTCGCTCTAGATCCACGTGATCTGGAACTTGTGCACGTAGTGCCAGCTGCGCTCGTGCTCTGCGCAGGCGAAGTAGTCCGTGCAGCGTCTGAGCTCGATACCTTCGTTCATCTACTTCCGCCTCACGCCGTAGTCGCTGCACAACTTCCTCTATATGTGGTTGCGCTGCATGCCATGCTTCATTGCATATCTGCTGAGCCATTTCAGCCAGATCCTCCTGAGGGTTGTGGCTGTACTCATGGCCTTTGTAGTAGATCGCTTGTGACGGCAGGTATGCACCAATAGAGCCAGTCGTTGTATGCCACCTTCGCTTGCTCAAAGCTCCATGCCCGTGCCGCGGTGGATAACTTATAGCGAAGTTCTGCTCGCTTAGCCTCAACTTGTTCGTGCCGTGGCTGTTCTGGCTCAGGTGCAAAAGGGGCTGTGCAGCTGATCTGGGCCTGGCACTCTTTCATTTCGCATCCTTGGTTTTTAGTTGTGAAGCTACTTTCAACACGTCCCATTCCTTTGTTGACCTCATCTGTGTGGTACTGCTCCTCGTCGGCGTCCTTGAAGGAACATTCATCGTAGTTCTGGGTGTTCTTCCCCTTGCCACCTTGCCCTTTTTTTTCCAGGCTTCCCCGCGCATGTCCATGGCCATTTTCCTCTTGTCACCATGCGTACTAGCTATCTGGCTGTAAATCGGGAAGACGTACATGTCGGCCATGAGGTGTGGGACGCTCCACTTCATCCAATCTTGCTGCAACTTGTCCGTGTTGATCCATGTTCTTACTTTGATGCGGAGGTACTTCTTTAGCCTGTTGGTGTAGTAGCTCGAGGCATACTGTATATGCTCGTTGCATATGTTTATGGTAGTCTCCGACTGCATGAGCACCACATTGTCATTGTCATCCGAGCTTACGATGTCGCCGCCTTCGTCACTGACCTCTTCCCCAAATAGTGGTATCTCCACGTCAGGGTTTGTGCCAATTGCCGTTATTTCTGGTAGTAGTGGATTGCCCACCTCGCTTTCGGGTGGATGGTCCATTTCCAGCATCGGCGTGCGCCCGTCTCCTATTTGCAGCAATGGCGTAGTGTATATTCTCCTATACGTAAGGACGTCAAGCCTGGTGATGTAAGTATCAACGTTTTGGTCACTGCTGATCTGAATGCTTTGCATCCCCGCTAGGCGCTGCCGTGCTTGTCGTAGCTCTTGTTGTCTCCGATGTACCATATGTAGCCATTGTATTCGATCGTTGTCGAAGAGCTGGCGATACTGCCGAAGAAACTCCTGCCTGGCTTGGTGCCCTGAGTACCAAACTCTATCGCAGATATCTTTGGTCATAATGCGTCTTTCATGAGCTGTGGTCCATAGCCTTTGCAGGCTCGGATCTTGTCTCAACATCATATCGACCAGGGGTAAACACCACATGTTCCAGTCAGCCTGGGCCTCTGGCCGTGACCAAACTGCAGCTTCTGTCGCCCAATGGTCAATTTCATCCTCAAGCTGATTCGTAAGCATCCATCTGGCCATCATAGCCTGTGCTTCCTCCACTGTACCCCTGCATACTGCGTACCGTGCCTCAACGTGCCCTTCACGTTGCTGAGGCTCTCGTTGCCGTTGCTGTGAGCTGAGGTATGCCATGATGCAGTAGTCGCTGTTGTTGATGTAGCGCGTGTCCTGAGGGTGGTATCCGTCAACGTCCTCGTAGATGTGGTGCTCTTTGTACATGAGACTGACTTGCCCTGTTGTATCATCATTTGCCTCGTACCCATCCTGAGCGAGCTGCTGCAAGTGAGCGCGCTTGATGGGGCTTATGAAAGCCTTTTGCCATATGATGACCGTCGTGCCCTGGCGGTATATCATGCCCTGATCCTTGAGCTCCTGAGATAATTGAGCATCGACTTGGTGTGGTAGTAAGTGTATCGGGGGGCTATCCAGATTGATGTGGTAGCAGCTGCGGAGATGACCCTGCCCTCCCGCATATAGATCCAGTTGATGTCTCTGCCACCTGAGTGTGTCGAAGCCCTGGAGGATGCACTGCTGCCATTGCTGGTGGTCGAATTCTTTCATAGTTTTTAATGCTCGAACTTCAGCTGTCCTTCTGCTGTCGCTTTCATCCCAAGCTACATTGCATATGGCCTTCGCCAACAGTAGTGTCCTGTGCGTGTCGACGTAGCCTTTGTCATCCAAGACCGAGTCCCTGAGCCCTGGTTGACTGATAATGGCTGTGTACACGTAAGGTGTGCCCCATAGTAGCCAATCTGCCCTCGCAATATCCTTGCTGCTCCAGGCCGCCTCCGCTGTCCATGAAATGGCACTTGCCCTGAGCTTCCCTGCCACCTGCTGGTAGGATGCGTTCTCAACCAAGCCTCTGAGGGTCGAGTTCACGCCTTCTGTGTCGGAGCAATGACTGTCGCAGAGCACGCGTCCTCCATGGCAGCGGCCTGAGGTTCTTCCACTGCCAGTGTTTTGAGTGCAGCTGGGTTTGGGTCGCCCTCTGCCAACCTCTTCTCTGCCGCTGCGGCTGTTGCATCGCCCTTGCTTGCCCCCTTGGCTGAGGAAGCTGCCATTGTAGCTGCTGCGTGCCCTTGGAGGTGTGCTCCTGGTAGCAGGCTGATTGGAGGCCCTGTGCAAGGGAACGCCTCTTGCCCTGGGGAGCAAGGTTGGGTTGGCATCAGCGCTTGTGCCTGCTGGCTGCTGAGGACTGGCGTCTCTGGCATTGCCTCATCTGCGTGGGTGATGGGTACCCTTGAGAGAAAAGGGGCTCCCCCTTCGGCGGCGGCGGTGGCTGCTGGGTCTGTGATGACAGCAGCGTTGGTGCCTCTGCCGCTTCTCTCGCCACTAGCGCGGCTGCCGATGCTGCTGCCGCTGCCTCTGCCTCTGGTGTAATGAATGGCGGCGCTCCTCTCATTGGCGCACTTGCTGAGGCTTGCACCAATATTGGGCTGGCTGGCTGTGGCTGAATCGGCGCTGCAGGCTGCACCGCTGAATGATGTCCCGCAGCGGGCTGTCCATCCGCCGCAAGATTCATGGCGGCTCTCAAATTGGCGGCGTAGTGCTCCCTTTGCATGCGCTGCTCGTGCTCGTAGGCCATCTGCCTCTGCATGATGAAAACTTGCTGCGCCTGCTGCTGCACATTCGCCTGCTGCGGCATTGTCGCTGCCGCTGCCGCTGCTGCCTGCGCCAAGGCCGCTGCTCCCGTGGCGTCTGTGGGCCACGGGGTTGGGTGCGGTCCTGCTGCGCTGGGCTGAAATTGTGCCCCAAGCGAAATGCCGTTGGCCTGGATGACCCTCTGGAGCTGAAAGATGGTGTCTTGCATCTGCTGCTGCTGCACGTACATCTGCTGAACCTGGCCCGTGTTGACGACTTGCATTGTAGCACCATTGTCGCCCGTCTGCACCGCGGGCTGCAGGTCGATCATCTCTTGGTGGATGCGATCGTCGATCTCCGATAGGGCTTCTTTCAGCTCGTCCAGCTGCTCGATCTGCTCCATCTCCTGGGTCTCCAGGAGTGCCAGGCGATCCCTGGTGCCTTTGAGCGCTATCTCCACGTTGTTGATGCGCTGGACTGCCTCGTTCCGCTGCTGGCTGAGCGGCTTGAGCAGGTTGGCGCAACGCTTGAGGACCGCCATTTCTTCTTTTGTCTCCTGGTCGCTCTTGCCGGCTCTCTGCGTAGCCAAGCAGATGCTGCCCAGCGCCTCGAGCTTTGTCCTCAGCTTGTCCTTGTAGGCCTTGATGCCCGTGTGGTCTGGTGGCGGCTGCCATTCCTGCCAGAGGGGATGCGCCACTGCTTGACTGTGCAATGCTGGCGGTATTCTGCCGATGAGCTGATTGACTTGTCGCTCCTGGCCATAGTGCTCTTTGATAGGCAGGCGGACGTGCCTTTGAGCGCGGCCTTGACTGCGGCCTGCCTTGCACTGTCCTGGGCTGTGATCTGCCACGCTTTCGCTGATCCCAGGATTCGCCGCATGCCGAGCATGACCAGGACCAGGGTGCACACTTTATGCCACACTTGCAAGTCCAGCCGCCTGCTTCCATCTGGGCGCTGCCTGCGGGGCGCCGTGATGAATGGTGTTCCTGCAGCAGCCTGGCTGCTGCTGCCACCCGTAGTAGTGATCTGGCTTCTCCGCGCCGACGGCGCAGATGCCTGTGCCAGGCTGGCTCCCGCTCGCGGCTTCGCGAGCGGCTCGATCGAGCGCGGGCTCCAGCGGCAGCCGAGCGAGGCGTGGTCTCGCTATGGCGGCCGCGCGGCCACGCTGGGGTCCCTGGCCGATGGGCTGCCCCATGTCCCGCGGGCTGCCCGAAGCCAAGACGCCTTGTGCCAAAATGGCTACGGAGATCCCTCCTCCTCCTCCTCCTCCTCCTCCTCCTCCTCCTCTTCCTCCTCCTCCTCCTCCTCCTCCTCCTCCTCCTCCTCCTCCTCCAGGGGGTGGCGGTCGACCTCGCGGGCGTGCGGCCCTGCGGCCCTCCCCGGGGGAGCCCCGAGGAGGTGGCGGCGGACCTGCTGGGCAGGCTGGACGACGCCGCGGTGTTGAGGCTGGCGTCGCGGCTGCTGGAGCTCGGCCTGGCGAGGCTGGTGTGGAGTCGGGCGTGTCCCTCCCCGCAGATCCGACGCTCCCAAAAAATTTGAGCAGGCGGTTTTTGACAGTTTTCGTCCTCCGTCCGGGGGCCCTCGCCGGGCCTCGGGAGTGTCAAAAAAAGACGCAGGACGAAAAATCTGTCCCGGCGAAGTGGTCTGGACCTCCTGGGTCCACGCACCAAAAATTGGAGCAGCCAGATGTCTGGGTCTACGGGAGGAGTACATTCGAGAAGAGTCAAGTCATTGTCCGGGGGCGGTGTTTGCTACTGCTATTTTGACGATCTGGACCATTGTTGAAGAGGTTTCCCAGACATGCGACGTCCTGATTTTTGAATCTACGGGTCCCTGGAAGTCCCGACCCTTTCCCCGGGACGGGTTTTTCGCCCTGAGTCGTTTTTTGACGGTCCCGAGGCCAGGCGAGGGCCCCCCCGAGGCGGAGAATGACCCAAAACCTCGCGTCCCGATGGTTTAACAACGCCATCCTGTCTGGGTTTGGCGATTTCTATTGTTTAGCCTCCACAACCCGCCTGTAGGAGGCCATGCCCGACCGAAGGCTGGAGAGATCGGGCGCCGCGGCGCCGGGCTCCGCGGAGGGCGGCGGCACCCCCGGCGGGCCCGCGGCCGAGGCTGCCCCGTGCGCGCCCCCGTGCGCGGCGCCGTGCGTGGCGCTGCCCCGGAGCGCCGCGCCGCCGCTGCGGGGCGTGGCGGCGCTGCTCCCCGCGGGCTCGCCCAGGGCTCGTGTCGATGCCTACGGTTCGATTCGGTTCGACTTCGATGGCTTCTGATTCCGATTCGATTCGAACTGGGATTCCGATCCCAAACCCCCTCGGGCAGTGAAGAAGTCATGACGGGAGGTTTTCCATATCTTCCGCCTTTGGAGGCCCTGACTGGGCCTCGGGGCCGTCAAAAAACGACTCAGGATGAAAACGCCGGTCCAGGGGACTTCCGAATCAAAAACAAGCAGGCTCTTGAATCCGCGCTGGGCCCCCCTGGCGCCGCCTCCGGCGCCGCCCCTGTCGCGCTCCGCGCGCCAGGGAGGGGGGTCCAGCGCGGATGCAAGAAATCCGTGCGGATCGCCCACAGTTTATGTTTATGCCGTTGTTCCTTCCTCTGGATGGGCCAAGAACGGCATACAAACATGCGTTGCGGCTGAAAAGCTCATACCCCTGCGGTGCCACGTGGGGGCATTTGCTTGCCAGCCGCCCAGAAGGCAGGCGTCCCCGATGGCGGAAAAGTTTATGTCAAGCCGTTCTTCGCCCAGTAAGGCACTTGGTGCACGCAGTGCAGTCCCTTCTTGGCGGACGGGTCGGTCGAGTGCCTCTCGCGGGAAAGCCCCCTGGCGGCTCGGAAGCGGGCGGGGGAGGCTGTCGAGATGTGCCCCACGACTTTCATCATGACGCACCTGCCGGCGTCGCTGTCGCACCAGGAGTCAGAGCGTGAATTACCTACCCCGTTTTCGCTTCCAGGCAAAACCAAGTCATACCACGCGCCTCCTCGTCAAGCGGCCTGACCAGTACAGGCCGTAGTTTGGCACCGTTTCGTATCTCTTGGAAGCGAGGGTGGTCAAAAGCGAGGTAGGTTTGTCTTCCCCCTAAGGAGGTCGCGAGAGCGTGGCTCGACGGCAAGGGCTTCAGTGGGGAGTACGACTTCTTCTTCTTCTGGTCCTTCCCTGGAAAGGAGCTGGGCCAAGGGCTCGGGTATTTCATCGTCAACTTCAAGAACGTCGCGGCGGGCCAAAGGTTCAAAGACGACCTCGACGGTCAGCAGATTGACGCTTCGGGGACGCGCCTCAACGTGGTTGCCGCGCGGAAGCAGGTGATCGACGACCTCCGGCTGCATTTCGGCGATCTCCGGCAATTTTGGTGGGAGACTCCACCCGCCTAAGAGCGCCATAGTGCATGAACTGTGTTTAGTTCTCTTTGCACAAAGTTTTCAAGTTTTTTTCAGCACGGCGGACGATTAAGAAACGTTGCCTGTCGATTCGATTTCCGCTGCCCCCAGAGATCCGCTCCCATGCGTTGGCCCCCATCCGTTTCTTAGTCACCGCCACCGCTGCACCACACGCCGCGATCCTTCCGCTGTCGAGCACTGTCGAGCCCTCGGGAAAGAAAAAGAGCGGCATCGATGCGGGCGGAGCAGCTTACACCATCCTGCATACGCTTCCCTGACCTTTGGTCTCCAATCCCTACCCCCCCCCTAGACGGATGGACGCTTCAGCCCCATGTGGGGCTTTCCAGGAAGTCCCTCGTCTTCGCTGCGTTTCGCCACCGGCGGAAGCTTGCGGAAGTTGGCGGAAGTCGATTTGCGGCGGGTTCACCCGCGGAAGTTGGCGGCAGGTCGGCGGAAGGCAGTGAAGTAAAAGCGAGACGTTCACATTTTTGGAGTCAGGGTTTCTGGACTCGGCCATGTCAGCGTACACGTCCAAAGGGCTACTGGGCCCCTTCTGAGCCAATTGGGCGTCTGAGACCATCTGGCCGCCGAGCTGACGGAGCTCATTCGGCCGCCGAAAGAGCCCCATTCCCATGACATCTGCGAAGTTGAGCCCCTTCGGCTGCCCACTCGGCGGCCGAATGGGGCCTGGCCGTCGAGCCGAAGTAGCCAAGAAACTGGAACCTCGAACCCTGGTCCCCTCGGAGCCCTGGAGCTCTCACCCCTGCCCCCAGGGCCATGGTTTCGTCCCGACTCGTTCTGCCGGACGGCCCCTGGGCCCACAGACGGCATGCAGAGGACGAAGACGCCGCAGACCCTGAGGCTTGATGGTCTCGAGTCTCTGGAGGCCTGGGAACCCTGCCGAATGCTGGCGCCTCGATCCTGAAAGCATCGATTCCTGGTCCTCTCCGGGGTGGGGGGCGTTTCGACCGCGGCGGCGACGGGCTTGGCTCCTCGATCCCCCCCCCTCTCGACCCCGGAGCCTCGACCCTCGATCCTCGGTCCCTGTCCCCGAACCCCCTCCCTATCTCGCCGACGGCTTCGCCTGCGCCGTCGCCTCCGCCCTCGCTGACGCCCTCGCCCTCGTCGCCGCCCCTCGCACCCGTTGCCCTCCTCCCTGTCCCCGAGCTTGTTTTTTTTAAGGCTCTGGCAAATTGACTTGCATGGGCGGGGGGGGGGGGGAAGCGGGCTCAGCCTGAAGCAGGCCGCTAACGGCTCGACATGTGGAAACCGCGCAGGTCGGAAGGCACTTGCCCGCCAGTGTTCGTTGGAAGAGGGGCGAGAGGGAGGGGGGGGGGCGGCGAACGCCATGCAAGTGAGCTTGCCCGAATCTAGAACATCGGGCTCCCCCCTCGCCGTCCCCGTGCTGCCCGGCGTCGTGCGTGCGGGCCGGGGCCGCCAGCCGCGTCGGGGCGTGCGGCGTGGGTGAAGGGCGCGGTGGCCGCCTCCCCCCTGGGCGGTGCCAGAGCGGGGTGGGAGAGGAGGAGGGGGGAGGAGGAGGAGGAGGAGGAGGAGGAGGAGGAGGAGGAGGAGAGGAGGGAGGAGGAGGAGGAGGAGGAGGGAGGAGGAGGAGGAGGAGGAGGAGGAGGAACAGTGTAAACCCACGAGTCATCAACGATGGTGGAGTAAACCCTCCCTCCAAGCTCCCTCTGCATAGGTCCCTACAGCGGTTCATTTCCATTGATGGAACTGCCTCGTTGGAAGACACCCGTTTGACGACCCTGAAGCATGCCAAAATTTTGTTCTCGGGATTTCAACGCCACGGATCAACCTGACTGTTGCGTCTTGGCGATTCTGAATCGTGCCAGAACGCCTTTCCTAGGACTTCAGCACCGGGAATCAACGTAATTGTTACACCCGCGTAATCTTCAATCCTTCCCAAACACCATTTCTGGTACGTTGATGATGGTAATCCGTGGAACTTCTGAAAATTGCGTAAACGAATGCGCGCGGCACTAAGGCGAGAGCCACATTAAAAAAAAGGAGCCGCCCTCAATCTGTGAAGCTCTTGCATTTTTTTAAACGAGTGTGCGCCGCGGTAGGGCGAGAGCCACATTTTGAAAACGACCCGACCTCAATCCGTGAAACTCTTGCAACTGTTTAAAACGAATGTGCGCGGCGCTAAGGCGGGAACCAGATTTTGAAAACGACTCGCCCTCAATCCGCGACGCCCTTGCAACTTGTTAGTTCGAATGTGCACGGTGTTCAGGCGAGAGCCACAATTTGAAAACGACCCGCCCTCAATCCGTCAAACCCTTGCAAATGTTTGAAGTGAATGTGCGCCGCGCTAAGGCGAGAGCCACATTTTGAAAACGACTCGCCCTCAATCCGTGAAGCTCTTGCAAATGTTAAAAACGAATGTGCGCTGCGCTAAGGTGAGAGCCACATTTTGAAAACGACCCGCCCTCCATTTGTGAAACTGTTGCCAATTTTTGGTGGTGAGGACGTCTCAGGCGAAACGCCCGGCCCGCCTTAAAAATTCTAAATGCTTCGCGTATCCCCACCAGCCCGTCCAGAAATGAGCCCCAGGGGAGTGGAGGTGATGAGGGAAGCGGGGGAGCATGCAGCAGAACAAAGGGCGGGGTAAGCCGCCATATGCCCCAAGAGGGGGAGGATGTAGGAGGGGTCGTCGTCGTCGGAGTAGGAGGAGGAAGAGGAGGGGCAAGAGGAGGATCAGGAGGAGGAGGAGGAGGAGGAGGAGGAGGAGGAGGAGGAGAAGAAGATGAGGAGAGGAGGAGATGGAGGAGGGCGAGGACGTGGAGGACGAGAAGGAGAGAAGGAGAATGAGGAGGAGGAGAGGAGAATGAGGAGAAGGAGAAGAGGAGAGGAGGAGGAGGAGGAGGAGGAGGAGGAGGAGGAGGAGGAGGAGGAGAGGAGGAGGAGGGGGAGGGGGAGGGAGGGGGAGGAGGGGAGGGAGGAGGAGAGGGAGGGAGGAGGGAGGAGGGAGGAGGGAGAGGGAGGAGGAGGAAGGGTGGAGGAGGAGGAGGAGGGGAGGAGGAGGAGGAGGAGGAGGAGGAGGAGGAGGAGGAGGAGGAGGAGGAGGAGGACAGTGGCGAGCTTGGGGGCCTCTTGGGCCGTCTTTGGGGCCTCTTGGCGGTCCTGGGGGCCTCTTGCGTATCTCGGGGAGCCTCTTGGGGCCTCTTGGGGGTCTCTTGGGAGCCTCTTGGAGGCCTCTTGGGCGCCTCTTGGGGCCTCTTGGGGCCCTCTTGGGGCGCTCTTGGGGCGCTCTTGGGAGCCTTCGGGGCGCTCTCGGGGCCATGTTGGAGGAGATCAATCAAAGAAGGGGTGGGTGGGAATTAGCGTTGCCCCTCTAGAGTGCCTCTTGGGCTCCAGAAAAGGCCAAACTCCTTCCTAAACCTTCGGAAACCAATGTTTGTTGCTTTCCCGCCTTTTCGCTCTTGGAGCCGTCTTGGACGCCCCAACGACCCGCGGACCCCCCCGTCCAGGTCCAGGGGAGGGGGTAGGGGGAAGGGTCAAGACCCCCTCCCCGCCCGCAAGCCGTCCCGCTCACTCCCCACCAGCCCTCCCAACACATACGTAGCACCCGAGTCTGGCCCGAGCCTCAGCATATTCAGCAGTCGTCTTTGGATGGGCAGCCACTGGGGCCGCCGCCGCCGCCGCCGCCGCCGCAGCCGCAGCCGCTGCAGTCGCCGCCACCGCCGCCGCAGCCGCCGCAGCCGCCGCCGCCGCCAAGTGTACTCTGTATTGTTTTTTGACAGGGATGGTGTGGGGGGCCGCATCGGGTTGGCTGCGCATGTTCCGAATTTGTAGGCAGAGTGTGTTTTGTAGTGTTTTTTACAAGGGATGGTGGGGGGGTGGGGTGCCATGGACCCTGGTTGGCCCCCAGTCGCCTGGGGGAGGGGGTATTTATTAATAGGGAACAGTGATCAACCCCTCCCCGAAGGGGAAGAAGGGGGTTGGAAAATGAAGCTCTCTAGACCACCGACGCCCAGAGGGCTGGTGGGACTGGCTTCGGGGTGCGACAGGGAGAAGTTATTTATAAGGAGAAGGAATGGAGGAGGAGGAGGAGGAGGAGGAGGAGGATGAGGAGGAGGAGAAGGAGGATGAGGAGGAGCAGGAGGAGGAGCGGGAGGAGGGGGAGGAGGGGGAGGAGGGGGAGTAGTAGGAGTGGGAGTAGTAGGAGGGGGAGGAGGAGGAGGAGTCGCTTGCTCTGTCTTCTCTCCCCCTCGCCCTGCCCTCCTGCTCTGGCCCGGGCGCCTGCCTCCCCTCACCTCCGTGGCGGGCGCTCGCTTCGTCGGAGCGGGCAGCGAAGACGTGGGGGTCGCCCACTTTTCGGGGGTGCCAATCCACGCCGCGGGGCCACCAGCGCCGCGCGTGGTCCGCCGCGTCTCGGCGGGCGGCTGGAGCTCCAGGGGGGGGGGGTACTTGGCCGGTGACCCGGCGGAGGGCCGTTCCACGGGGCGATCGGCGGCGTTTTTGGGCTCCTGGTGTTCGGCCAGGCGCTGCCGCGGGCAGCGGTCTGCCGCGCGCCGCTTTTGCCCTTCCCTTCCCCCCGCCTGCACTTCGCGAGCGGCTGGAACTGGCAACGGGAGGCCCTGGTAGGCGGCCTCCTGGCGGGCGCGGAGCGGGGCCCCTCCGCGGAGCGCGGGGCGGCGGCTTCCAGCCGCCGGGCCTGGTTTTCGGCCGTGGGCGCTGCCGTGGGCAGAGCGCTCTCCCGCGCGCAGGGAGCGCCTCCTCCCCCTGCCATCTTCAGATGACGCCACCAGCGTGCCCGGCCAGGGCCACCCTGGGCTCCACGATGGTGTCTAGACCCTTCTGGCCTCAGCCAGGAGGCGCACACACCATGCCAGTGCCCAGGATGGCCCTGGCCAGGCAGGGCGGCGGTGTACAGATGCCTTCTGCGTATGCCCCTCCTCCTGCCTCCCGGAGGGCCGCGGAGCTCGCGAGGGGGGGGGTGCCCGGCAGGCGCTGCGGCGGAGGCGGAGCGCCTGGGC